ATTTTGCTCACGAGAATGAAATAAAATTGCGAAATAAAAGATGATTGTGTTTTATAAATGAGAATTAAATAATCACTTTAAGTTAAATGAGAATTAAATAATCACTCTAAGTTAAATGAGAATTAAATGATCACTCAGAGTAGCATTTATTCTAAGAATGTAAGTTTATAGTTCTGCCTTTGCTAACTTAGTGCATACTACCGTTGGGGGTGGGGTGGTATGGTATGGTATATAATGTGACGGTCAATCACAAACATAGTAGGAATGTAACTACATAATAGAAAACTACACAACGTGTCCGATAACGTTAGCATTGCATCACCAGTCATAATTGAGTAGAATAATGAGTAAACAATAAAGAGACAAGTGAGACTAAAGCAAGCGCAGTGGCATGACAATTGGCTGACAAAAGCAAGCGCAGTGACATGACCAAATCTGCAGAGCGAACATAATATTAGAATTTGATTTTTGTTTGCTTGTATTGTTTTAGATGTTTGTTTTTTTTTCTTTTACATATAAAAGTAATGGAGCAAACTGTGTACTGTGAGGAATTTAATGATTTGCCGCGAAAATACATATGCCTATTTGTAGCCACGTGTAATGAAAGCTGCATCAAGACAAAATGCATCAAAGACTACTATTAACGAAAATAAGGCGCGATTTGTTGATTACAACCATAAAAGAAGTATTCCAGTTTTACAGAAAATACGCAGATTTATAGAGTACATTACGTTATGATATTGAAATAACCATAACAAACCTAACAGCACAATTAAACAGTGCAGTAAGAAGAAGAAATAAAAAAATAATTTGAATTTTCGTAAATTAATAACTTTTTATTCGACTAAATTAAGAGTGTAACTTAAAAATAAAAGTATACTTTACCAGTTAATCTAGAACCTTTGAAAACAAATCTAATAAAATTGATGGATACAACGAACAACAAACTGCAAATTCTCAACAATTTAAAAATCTGTTATTAAACTATGTATTCGATTATTGTTCCAAATAATTATTTAGTTAATTCAGATATTTGCTCCATTATTCCTCATTTTTTTATTTTAGAAAAAAATGTTCGTATAAATGCTTTTAAGATCTAAGTATAACCTTTTATTCATAAAAGCTTATGTAGTATGGCTATCCAATGTAAATGCTAATTGTGTGCCCTTGTAATCTTAATTTTCACGGGAGATAAATCTGGATATATTTATCTGGAAGTAATGAACATTCTTCAAAATACTACAAGCGTTCAAAAGATATTTAAAAATGAATCAGCTAACATAGTCGTCTGATATTTCAAGAATGATATATTCTGTTATTGCTTTTCATCCACTGGCCATCTAATACATTGTATCATTATGCATCCAATCATTTGTATCTAGATAGAACATTGAATATGTTTCTAACCGTTGGTACTCCTGTAATGTTTAATATCTTTCCATTTTTGTCTGACTAGTATTCATAGTACGCTATGGCGACTGTAAGCAGTAGTCTCTTCTTTCCATCATTTACTAGACTTTACCACACCACGAGTATGTTATAGTATGCTACGAGTATATTATTGTGTATCAGCTGTTACTACCAATCAATATTATCTCTAAGGACAAAGTCACATGACCTCTCAAAAACACTGCTGACCTCTAAGCTTTGGTAAGTTCGAAGAATTCTCACTAAGTTTAGTAGTGCATGGCTAATCCATCAAATGATTTCTAATAGCTACATTCATTTGCCCGAAATTTATACCTAAGACATTACATGTGACCGAAATTTATACCTAAGACATTACATGTGCCCGAAATTTATACATAAGACATTACGTGTGCCCGAAATTTATACATAAGACATTACATGTGTCCGAAATTTATACATAAGACATTACATGTGCCCGAAATTTATACATAAGACATTACATGTGCCCGAAATTTATACATAAGACATTACGTGTGCCCGAAATTTATACATAAGACATTACATGTGCCCGAAATTTATACATAAGACATTACATGTGCCCGAAATTTATACATAAGACATTACATGTGCCCGAAATTTATACATAAGACATTACATGTGCCCGAAATTTATACATAAGACATTACATGTGTCCGAAATTTATACATAAGACATTACATGTGCCCGAAATTTATACATAAGACATTACATGTGCCCGAAATTTAAACATAGGACATTACATGTGCCCGAAATTTATACCTAAGACATTACATGTGCCCGAAATTTATACATAAGACATTACATGTGCCCGAAATTTATACATAAGACATTACATGTGCCCGAAATTTATACATAAGACATTACATGTGCCCGAAATTTATGCATAAGACATTACATGTGTCCGAAATTTATACATAAGACATTACATGTGCCCGAAATTTATACATAAGACATTACATGCGCCCGAAATTTATACATAAGACATTACATGTGCCCGAAATTTATACATAAGACATTACATGTGTCCGAAATTTATACATAAGACATTACATGTGCCCGAAATTTATACATAAGACATTACATGTGCCCGAAATTTATACATAAGACATTACATGTGCCCGAAATTTATACATAAGACATTACATGTGCCCGAAATTTATACATAAGACATTACATGTGCCCGAAATTTATGCATAAGACATTACATGTGCCCGAAATTTATGCATAAGACATTACATGTGCCCGAAATTTATGCATAAGACATTACATGCGCCCGAAATTTATACATAAGACATTACATGTGTCCGAAATTTATACATAAGACATTACATGTGCCCGAAATTTATACCTAAGACATTACATGTGCCCGAAATTTATACATAAGACATTACATGTGCCCGAAATTTATGCATAAGACATTACATGTGCCCGAAATTTATGCATAAGACATTACATGTGCCCGAAATTTATACATAAGACATTACATGTGCCCGAAATTTATACATAAGACATTACATGTGCCCGAAATTTACACATAGGACATTACATGTGCCGGAAATTTATACATAGGACATTACATGTGCCGGAAATTTATACATAAGACATTACATGTGCCCGAAATTTATGCATAAGACATTACATGTGCCCGAAATTTATACATAAGACATTACATGTGCCCGAAATTTATACATAAGACATTACATGTGCCCGAAATTTATACATAAGACATTACATGTGCCCGAAATTTATGCATAAGACATTACATGTGCCCGAAATTTATACATAAGACATTACATGTGCCCGAAATTTATACATAAGACATTACATGTGCCCGAAATTTATACATAAGACATTACATGTGCCCGAAATTTATGCATAAGACATTACATGTGCCCGAAATTTATGCATAAGACATTACATGTGCCCGAAATTTATACATAAGACATTACATGTGCCGCAGATTGAAATTATGATCCTAGTACATATGCTTAAATGCTAATTATTATTTTTACCAAATGACATAAAATCAGCGCAAATATTCTATAAATTTTCTCCCATGAAAAAGAGAACTTTGCCAATTGCGGATATTCTTTTATATGGAGAAAGTAACAAATTGTTTATTACGGACACCATATGTCTCTCAAGAAAACCTAAAACGAACAGAATTAACCTATGCGTACATCCTTCCAAATGACGTGATGAATTCTATAAAGTATTTCAAGAGACCTGTTTTAATATCTTATCTTCTAAGTATTTTCTTTTAATGCATGCAATATGATATTGAAAACCAACGATACGCCATGCTTTATAATCATTCTGGCCTATTGAAAATATAGCGGAAACGTTTGCTAATCTACACACCCGTTAATACGAAACTTTTCACGGTGAGTCTCTCAACAATATTCGTTATCCGACGTCGCCATCAAAGCAATAAAATATCAGGGTAGATAACCCTACAGATGTCAAAACCTTAACTTGAACAACTTAAAACATAACAAATGAATATATATACGAGTCACATTTCAAAACGTGTGTAAGCACAAATACAATAATATACATTACGCATGCATGAACATTAACTGACTTTGATACAAATTAAACTGTTCTTCCATAAGAACCTCTGTATCAAATTACCAAACATATAGCTACGCACGTACACAAATCTGCCAGGGAGATGAATAATCGTACTGGATTATAAGATGCTCGATAGATTATCATCATATATATTACATATATACAGACACATATATGTCCAACTTAAAACAGATTGTATTCTAACTGATAACAACGTCATGTAGCAAAAGTCTAAATTTCAAAACCATTATAATAAATTTTGTAAATTTAAAAGTAAACATCAATTTTATCACATGCGGAATATAGATGGAAAAACATTTACAACTTTGGTGTATTTACAGGTGAAGCGTTTTTTCTGTACAGTGGAAAAACTTCGTGTGCATTTTAACAATTTACAGAAACAATACCTGGAAATATATATATATATATATATATATATATATATATATATATATATATATATATATATATATATATATATATATATATATATATATATATATATATATATATATATATATATATATATATATATATATATATATATATATATATATATATATACTTCCAGGTATTTAAGCCCATAGCCGAAGAAAATTGGATAGACCGTCACCCACTGCCAGCACTTTGAAATCGCAGCAATAAAGCAAATACCATTCATTTTCTCGCAATAGACAAAAGCTAAAATCATACATAATGGTCTATGTTATAATGAAACAAATCTATATTTATATATGTGCATGTGTTTTTGTTTGAGTGATTTAGATTTTAAACCAAGCTTTAACAATTTTTGAGTCATATAGCTAGGATGTCTGCTGTGTGACAGTTTATAGGCATCATGCTGCAGACATGTGGCATGATATCCTGCACAGTCACATTATCCTAACACCAGACCAACCAGTCCTAGCACTAACCTCTTAATGTTGAGCGCCACGCCAGGCAGCTGGTAGTACTTATTTTGTTTTATGTCTTTGGTATGACTCGGCTGGGGTTCGAACCCACGATCTCCTACATCCGAGGCGGACGCTCTTAACAATAGGCTACCGGAGCAGAATCTATATTTATAGTTAGATACAAGCAATCCAAGACAGATATGTAACTGGTTTAAGATGCCTTTCGTGCTAAGCCTGTCTTGTCTAGTACTTTCTTTCGTGATTATAATACCATTCTAAGTCTGACTGGTTTATGCTTTGTTTTGTGCTTTTTAGATTTATGTTCAAAATTCTCCCTCTAACTGGTCTATAAATACTTTGAAATTGAATTATGTCTCACTCGATTTGTTTTGTTGCTGTTCGTTTGTAGTGAGTCATTTACGTAACTTTCATTAATGAAACAATTAGGCCAAATTTCTATTATAATCATAACTAACATTCTTAAGTCATTAATGTTCAAACTGTTTACGATGTATACAACTGATGTAAAAAAATCTCAATCTGATAAATGATTTGCAATATTTCATAACCAAAAAAGATGATTAAATTAAATAAGGACAACGGTCTTCAACATGGATACCGGCTGCACTTCTGTTTTTGTTTACAACTGGAATTACATTTGTATTGATCATTAAAAATACTAATAGATTTTTAAATTGTCGCCATGCAAACTAGAATAGATAAGGTCACAAAAGTCTGGACATAATTTAATAATGCTGATCTCAGGTACATGAAAATGAACTTTTGCCGTTAAAAATCGTTTTATAATTGGATGTGAAATGCAAATCACGAATCAAAACGAGTAGCAATGGCAATAATATCATTATGAACAACAAATTCCTACCAAAAATAGATTTCTCATTATTTTAGTAAATATGCCAAGAATTTATTTGAATCTTTTCTTGAATGAACGAGGAAATTAAACAATCAGGTTCAATCCAATACTGTACACATTATTCACATCGCGAACGAATGATCCAAATGGTTGGACACTTTAAGTAATCAGTATACGACTCTTTTATTAAATTTACGATTGTAATTACCACCCATGCGGTAAATATTCGCTCGCAGCTAACATGACTTCATGGCTCACACTCGATGATTCAGATTTCTCCTTCCTTAGATCGGTTGTCTTCAGTCATGTTTGTCCGACTCAATACTTGTAAATCTTGTTTGGAAAGAAATGTTTCTTCGCGCTTTTTGATCAGAGACAGCTTTTGAGCAAAATATTAATCTCCTTTTCATAGCACGTATTAAGAATGCCCTACCAAATATTGGGAGAGTTCTTTCTGCAGGCAGGACAACAAGGATCACTAGTGAGTCGAATGGAAGAATACCACAATGGTGAACAATAGATCCAAACTTAACAGACGCTTAGCACTGATACGTTTAAACTAATTAATTGTGAACCCAAATCTAACAGACAATGGTGACTAAATTAGATTCATCAGAAGATATAATCTTGGCATGTTCAATACGACCTAATCTCGTATCAGGTAATAGAGTTACGTTGCCTGATTTGGGGGTACCCACCTTTGTATCTTTCATTGTATAACATGAATTTCTTATAGTAGTGAAACTATGACATATGGTATTGATAGTATTATGGTATTACTAGTAAAATGTGTTCAATAGTAATATACTATTGGTAGTAACATCAATAACTCGTGTGCCATTATGAGAACTTTTCATATTTTACTTGACTCTCTCCGATCGACATAAGTCATCGCATGCCTGTTATTTGATATCGTACAATTCATTATTTGTGCATCATACTGCGATACACAGCGGACTCTGTTCATGCCACTTGATAAAACCAATTATGTATACACAGATGGACATACAGAAAGGTATTGCATATACTATTTCTATAGAATCTATTTTCATTTCCGAAAACTTAATGTGTCATTTAGTTCGCGTGTCGCCATTGAAATATTTATGCTACGTGGTCTTCAAAATGTATTGGCAAAGGTTACCGGTCATTTTTTATTTACTATATGTTTAGTTCAATTATATCATAATCAGCTTATAGGTAGAGAAGATTTTTAAAAAACTAACAAATTAAATCTATCTTTGAAATTGATACCTCATAAAACAAAGTACCAAAAAGCCATTGCTCGAAAATACAGAACACAAGACCAGATATGACAAGGGAAAAACAAAGCTAAAAAATGGCACGAAAGAAAAGCATGTTTTGATTGTTGATTTGGGATACAACAATTACCACAGGGTAAATATGTGGCAGAATTAATGAGAAATACTGGGCCAACGTGATTATGTATCTTAAATTTAGGACAGTAAGTACTAGTTTAAAAAGTAGTTTATTTAAATCAATAATGAATATTAAAGATACTCTTCAGAAAGAATTAGACTTTCGTAATTATTTAAAAATCGATTGAAGATGATCAACGAATAGTTTAAGAATAATCGATGTTTGATCTATCACACCAACAGTTTAAATTACAATACTTTTGTGCATCATCGCCCTTTTCTATTTTTCTTATTAAATGCAAAGTGGATGGTCTGAAGAAATCCAATATTACTCAAATAGGCTGGTTTAAATGATATCCGAAATCGGAACGGTGGCAATTGTCTAGCCAGTTTAATTAAATGTAATAGAAGCATGCCCTATAAATTAAACACATCATTATTTAAACTTAAATGTCAAAATATAAATTAAACCGAAACAACAATTTATGATTAATAAATACCCTACATACTAAGTTCGTTGGGAGTTTCAGTTTTCACTTGAAAACTATGAATTGCCTACAGCAAATTTAAAGTCCATTTTGTTCTTTAAATCTATCCGAAATAGACCTCTTGTAAATCTACCCGAAATAGAGTCTTCTTGTAAATCTACCTAAAATAGACTTCTTGTAAATCTACCCAAAATTGAGTCTTCTTTTAAATCTACCCAAAATAGAGACTTATTGTAAACCTACCCAAAATAGTCTTCTTGGAAATCTACCCGAAATAGAGACTTCTTGTAAATCTACCCGAAATAGAGTCTTCTTGTAAATCTACCCGAAATAGAATCTTGTTGTAAATCTACCCGAAATAGTGTCTTCTTGTAAAAATCTACCCAAAATAGTCTTCTATTAAATCTACCCAAAATAAAGTCTTCTTGTAAATCTACCCAAAATAGAGACTTCTTGTGAATCTACCCACAATATAGTCTTCTTGTAAATCTACCCAAGAATAAAGTCTTGAACCAGACATATTGCGAAATAGTTGATCTTGACTTTATGCATACATTTATGCATAATTGTGCAGACCTAAAAAGCAATACACAAATGTTTTAGAAAGCATCTACTTTATTAATACAAATAAAACGAATTCTCCTCCCAAATTGCTTGTTCAGTCAGTTGATAACGTTAGTTCTTGTTGGAAGTTCAACTATTAGAAAATGGTGTAGATAAAGCCGATAAAACAAAGCATATACATGAATGTCAAACATGTCCAAACGATTGTATCTTCAGAAACTACATAATCGATATTTATTCAGCATTTTGTCTCTCTCAATTTATTTTTAATCACAAATACTCGCTAAAATGTTCTGTTGTTGCTATTTCATCTGATACATAACTGTATGTAAGAGAACCATATGCCTTTGAAAATGTACCAAAACATGAGCCTTGTTCCATGAACATGTAAAAAGAACCTGGATCCATTCTCGTCGATCCACTTTCACTTCTTTGTCCCAATTCATGTACTACAAAAAAGCAATGCTTTTGTTCGTCAATATAGATATTGTAGGGTGATATTGTAGCAATATAGATCGGTTCAATTAATACGAGAATCTCACCATATTTGCAAAAATGCAGACATATTGCTAATGGAGAAGAAAAATAGTTCTACGTCCCCACCCCCAGAAAAATGAAAAGATTTTTAAGTGCATTTGGGAATTCATATTATATCTTAGCATTCAAAATATATGCTGTAAATTATTTAATTCAGAGACGCACATCTCAGCTTAATTATCAATTAGTATAGTTTTCTATGGGTGTTCTCGTTGCTTGATACAGATGTTAAATAAATATATCATTTTCAGATTTAAAACTTGTTGAACACTAACAGTTCTATTTAAAATTAGTGAAATGTACTAACCCTACATAAATATTATTAGGACGTCAGTGTTAGAATTATGAAAATGAAAAAGATATGCCATGATGATCAGGAATAATATAATTTTATGTGATCAGAGACTTAGCACAAACAATACTTGTCACATGTCTTTAGTCTGGAGTCTTTTTAAAATAATGCCGTGTACTCGAGTGTTCTGTTGGGTATAAAAGAAGTGAAGTTGTGATACAAGTGCATATTGTTAATTAAGTTTGCTAAGGAATGAATTCTGTATAAATCTTTATTTCATTTTTACTTCATTTTTATACTTTTAAATGTAATTATTATAATTATTATGATTAAGTTAGCAAGTGTCTAATATTTTGTTACAAACATCGTGTTTATTTAAATCGAAAATGTTACTCGTGTAAGCACGAGCTTTGTATGATCGTCAAGTCATCGCAAACAAACATACAAAAGTAGCTGTGTACTTGGTTGATACTTGTTCAGGCTTTCCTAATGTACAGATGGATTGTGAAATCACACGTGGTCTTCGTGCGTGTATATATGAAACGACTTATTAGCTTTTTTATATACTTAATTATCTGTAAGAAAGTTCAGTCGTAGCCGCAAGTACAGTTCAGTCACCGTTTTCAACATCTTATAGGGTCACACAGTTTTTATTACCTTAGAAAAGGTTTTTTGTGCTGGAAGAAGTTGTCTGTTCGTATGTCTAAATAGAACGTCATATGTTTTTTAATTGGATATAATTAAACTTCGTCTACTTTCTAAATAATTATTTTCTCTGGAGTACAATACTACTGGTTTGAACAAAAACATTTTCTAAAATTATGTATAAATTGGAACAGAACAATACAAATTGTGCTTCACTGAAAATTCTGGACCTTTTGGGTTACTATTCATTTGACGTCTTCATCCGCCATCTTGGACCGGAGCAAACGTTGACTGTCAATTTAGAACTGTTCACAGAACTTACGTTTTCATATGTTTGGAACAAATATTTGTATCTCCTTCGTAAATCATAAGTCCTGTTTC